CTAATACACTTGATGTCAAGTGAGGGGCTCCCATTTCATTTACGACCGTCCGACTTCCAGCCTCCTTCACTCTGCCTTCTCCCCAACCCAGAGGCAAACACTATTTGAACTTTAATTTCATTGAATTTTTTCTTTTAAGATGACTGGTAAGGGGATCTCAACCCTTGACGTGGTGTTGTCAGCACCACGCTGTCCCAAGTGAGCTGACCGGCCATCCCTATATAGGGATCCGAACCCGGGGCCTCGATGTTATCAACACCACACTCTCCCAAGTGAGCCACAGGCCCCCCCCCTTTTTTTTAAATATATATTCTGTTTAGTTCTGTGGCTCTTGTTCCTTTTTTTCCCCTCTCATATGAAAAATATCCACAAAATGACCTCTAACTAAATTAATATTTTACAAAGAGTGAAAATCCAAAATCAATGATTTTGTTTTTCCAAAATAATGTGCTGGTAGCTCACACATCCCTTCACTGAGTAATCATAACTCATCTTTCTGGTGTCAGAACCAAATGACATTCATTTTTCTGGTATCAGAACCAGATAATTTATACTGTCTCTCCTAGCTCTTATGTCATTATAAATTTAACCATTGCAACACTGCTTAACATTGTTTGAAAATCAGTATAAATATATCTCAGGCATGCCTCCTCTCATCCAAAAGAATTCCTGGATGCAAGTGTGACTTTAATTGTCATTTGCTGTTTTTCCATTTAGCAATCATGTCATAAAATGCTATGTCTTTTTGAGACAAGGAGCTTCCATCCTCTTCAGTCCATGCCACTCTGCCACTAGAAATGCCTCAAATATTTAAGATGCTAACTCTCCCACCAATGTGAAGGGAGAAGTGCCTCTGACCTACTCCCCCTTTTCTCTTTAACATCTGGCTCCATAGACAGCTTCTTCTAAAAAGGACACAATCCAATAGGGATGAAATCTCTACATAATTAACAAGGTCTGAAATTTAACTGATTATTTTTTATATGATTTTTTTCTTCTTCTTCTGATACCAGTTTCTGTAGTTACTTGTCGTAAAAGTTTCTGCAGTTATGTGTCGTAAATATGGGAACAATTCAAGGAATGATATCTTCAGTTACTAATTAATCCACTAAGAAACTTAAAAGCATTCCCTTGTGGGAAAGGGAGCCTTATGTAGTTAACAAGAGTCCTTTATCTTTAAAGGTCCAGAGCTTAAGTCACTGTCAATCTCCAGTAAGGCTGCCACACTTTTAAAGACTCCCTAAAGGCTTCTCATGGAAGACTGCCCAAGGGAGAAGTCCAATCATGGAGAAAAGTCGAGCTTGATGAATTCCAAATTTACCATTTTGGTCATTAAGAGAGAAACCCTGTGACTGTCATTACATACAGGCCACAAAAAAAAGTCATTCATCCCTTCCAGTCAAATATGCAAATATTGTAGCCAAGTGGCCAAAGAATTACTTTCACCCACATTTCTTTATGTCCTATTTATATCCTCTGAGCAACCATGCAGAATCTCCCATCAGGTTTCAGGACTAAAATGTAGCTGCCCAAAATTTTCATTCCATCTTACAACATTTACATACAAACAATCCTAGGTGGGGTCCACATAGGAGCTACACTTCTGCAGACTGTAGATGCACCACCAAAATTAACTTATTTGGGAACCAGAGGAGATTTTTTAACTTGGCAAATGAAAATTGTATATATGTTAGATATAATCATTGTATAATATGTTTTGATATATGTGCACATTGTGGAATGGCTAAATCAAGCTAAGAGATTTTGTTTTACCCCTGGACCTTGTAATTCCAGTGTCCCATTCATGTAGGCAAATCATGTTCAATACAAATGTGAAATAACAATAAGGAATCTTAAATTCATCAACTAATCTCATACATAAAAAAGAAAAATCTCAGATATTTTTATTAAGGGAACTCTAAAGAGTGGTGACAGCTTTGTAGCAACCAAAGTAATTAGAAGAGTAAAGCTCAGGAAATCTAAATTTTCAATGACTCTTTGCCCAACAATATTAGTAAGTGACAATAACAGATATAAAACAAGGCATAACAAGGTATTATATACTAACAAACAATAGGAATAAAACAAGACATAACTAATTTTTATTTTTAACTAATTTTATTTATAACTAATAATGTCTCTGAAGCATACTATTTAATTTTTTTAAATGCACCAGAGTAATTATGGTGGTTTTAAAATATGTCCAGAAATTTNCAGACTGTAGATGCACCACCAAAATTAACTTATTTGGGAACCAGAGGAGATTTTTTAACTTGGCAAATGAAAATTGTATATATGTTAGATATAATCATTGTATAATATGTTTTGATATATGTGCACATTGTGGAATGGCTAAATCAAGCTAAGAGATTTTGTTTTACCCCTGGACCTTGTAATTCCAGTGTCCCATTCATGTAGGCAAATCATGTTCAATACAAATGTGAAATAACAATAAGGAATCTTAAATTCATCAACTAATCTCATACATAAAAAAGAAAAATCTCAGATATTTTTATTAAGGGAACTCTAAAGAGTGGTGACAGCTTTGTAGCAACCAAAGTAATTAGAAGAGTAAAGCTCAGGAAATCTAAATTTTCAATGACTCTTTGCCCAACAATATTAGTAAGTGACAATAACAGATATAAAACAAGGCATAACAAGGTATTATATACTAACAAACAATAGGAATAAAACAAGACATAACTAATTTTTATTTTTAACTAATTTTATTTATAACTAATAATGTCTCTGAAGCATACTATTTAATTTTTTAAATGCACCAGAGTAATTATGGTGGTTTTAAAATATGTCCAGAAATTCTTTGATATCTCCCCTTTGAGAGGTAGAGCCTAATTCTTCTCCCCTTGAATGTGTGACTTGCTTCTAACAGAATATGGCAGAAGTGAGGATATGTGACTTTGAAACTATATCATTAAAGTTCATTGGCTGCTGCCTGTCTTTCTCTTAGGTCACTCCCCTGTGGGAGAAGCCAGCCTCCGTGTTGTGAGGACACACAAGCAGCACTGTGGGAAGGTCCACATGGTGAGGAATTGAGTCTTCTTGGCAAGGACCAGCATTAACTTACCAGCCGTGGGAGTTGGCTACCTCGGAAGTAATCCTTCACCCTCAATAAAGCCTTCAGATGACCGCAGCCCTGGCCAACATCTTGACTTCAACCTATGAAAGACTCTGAGCTGAACCATCCAACTAAGCTGCTCCTAGATCACAAAAACTGAAACGTTTATTGTTTTAAGGGGCTAAGCTTGGGGGAAAGTTATGCATCAACAGATGATGAATATGGAATATTTCACCCATTTCTACACATAAGTGTATAATATGTCACTATCTCAAACATG